CAGAAGCTCTACCTAGAGCTAGTGGACTTTAAACAGGCATTTGACTCTGTCTGGAAGAAGGGTCTGTAGCACATGATGAGAAAATATAACATCCCGAAGAAAATTCAAAACCTGGTTCAGGCAATTTATGCTTCATCAGAGAGATGTGTCAAGATAAATGGCCAACTGACGGACTAGTTCGAGTTAGACAAGGTGACATCCTTTCCCCTACACAGTTCAACATCTAGACCGGTAAGTTTCCATAGACCTCAATGATAAATGCCCCCACTTCAGAAATTCAGGAAAAATACTCACAACTCTTTGAAGTGTTCAAGACGTACATCAAATTAAAGCTTATTTCTTCATCTTTCATTTTCTGTTCAATTATTTGGGGGTAACCAATGACTTTTGGGAGAAAATTCCATCCAAAGATGATCACCCCTAAAAGCAGTCCTGAAGCACATCGTTATTTTGAAAATGGACGCCTACGCTCCAATGCAAAATAGAGCCATTTTAGGTCCTAATCATCCCAAGGGCGGATCCAGAACACAATTTTGGGGGGGGGGCCAAAAAATTTTGGTCCTCCAAAAAAGTGGGTCCAAAAATTACGGCGTGGGGTTCGGGGCCCGCTTAAGGGCCCCGAAAAAATTTTGGATTCTAGATGCTCTGTGGTGCGATCTGAGGCAATTTCTGACCACTTTAACCAATGTTTTTTTGAGGAAAAGATGGTGGTGTACTCATTGCCTGCCTTTTTTGCGATGTCACATATAAAAAAAAAATAATTGGTTTCGTTTTGGGGGGGGGGGGCCATGGCCCCCTTTGGCCCCCCCCCCTGGATCCGCCCTTGAATCATCCTCATCAACATTTCACAGAAATACGAGCTCGCAGTCCTCTGCACGGCTTCCACCCATATTTTGTACAAACCCTCAAGTTCATGGCCCCCAATATGCTCAAATACCGAAGAATTTGAGGGCATGCAAATCGTGATTTGGCCAGCGAAGGCAATTTCGGACTGATTTACTGGTCTGCACCCTTAACGGTTGTGAAGCGGGCATTGAGATCGCAGAGGAAGTGTTACAGCTATACATGCTGTTACAGCTATACATGCTGATGACATAGCAACAATTGCTACCAAACTTAACAACTTCCTGGAAAAACTACGTCGTTTTGAGGAGGCAACTGCCAAGTGGGGCTTCAAGGTAAACTCAAGAAGACAAAAACATGTCATCGAAGCCAGAAATGTCCCACATGAAGATAAGTTTTTATATGGAGGAGAAGAACTTGAGGTGGTTGAACGGTTCACATACCTGGGTGGACCTATTTCTAGAGACAACACCATCTGACGAAATTGCCATCAGAATTGCAAACGCTTCAGCAGCCTTCAAAGGCCTGGACAAACAAGTCTTTGGAAGAAAGGACATGAGTCAAACATTGAAGATCTGGATGTTACATACAGGCACTTATAATGCCTATTCTTCTATATGCATGTGAAACATGGGCACTTAACAAACGGGACACATCAAAATTGAATGCCTTTCAAATCAGTTGCCTAAAGATAATGGGAATTTCGTGGGACAGAGTCACAAATCATGACATTCTTTGTAATGCTCAGCAACATCTGGTCAGCGACATAACCAACAATTAAGCGTAAACTTACATGGGCATACTCTGAGAATGTCTCCTGAAAATTACCCAAACTTGATAATTAGAGGGCAAGTCGAAGGCAAAACTAAGAGGGGCTCCAAGGAAAAGATGGTTAGATCGAGTAAAGGAGGTTCTTGCGAAGATGGACATCCCTATGGAAAATACACAAGAACTTGCACAGGACCGAGGAAAATGGAGAGCACTGGTAGCTGCAGCCCTACCCATCATGACTGATGGTGGCAGGGTGTAAGCATATAAGCAAGCTAACCGTTTTAGTGAACAGCTTGCGCTATTGGCCAGTTCAATAATTAACGTATTCCATCACGGCTTAGCAAATTGTAGTTTGCGTGAGCGTACATCGGATTTCCAGAAAACAGGGATTCTGTGTCCACAGCATAATTACTGTAGCTATTTGCTATAGTGCTGTTCACAAGCACAGGATACCATAATTCCAGTGACAAATGCCGTCATAGTAAGGCCTGGGTTTACTGACTGGCGCGGCGACTATATACGGCATCGTTCGCAACTCATTAAAGTTGCATCTTCATGAATAGCATGCAACACTTGGCCTATCACCCGGATTTCACAGGGAATTACCGCGAAAATCGACGGCTTCTCCGGCTTTCGAGGCACTCAGGTTTTTAGTACATATATAATTATGTCTGGTGGATTTCTCGGTCACCGTGAATAAAACATACGGAGTTATATCCCTCACTACACGCCGTCCAATTTTGAACGGATCTACCGCTTATTGCATGGCGGTCTCTGCATGCCGATGCTCAATTGAATTATACAGGTCGAGATTGAGGGAAAATGAAAAATCCACGAAATAATCGGCAGAGGAGTTTGAGGGCTACCAAGGCCCTTGGAGCAATGTAGGGTCTATGGTATACGTTTGTATTTGCCTCACGGCACCCCTTACAATACCCATTTCTTTTGTTCTGAAACTTTCATACCGGTAGGTAAAACACCTTTACGGCAAAACCTCAGGGATTCCAGATTTCATAAGGGATTCTTTAAAAATCCTGAAACCAGGACAAATCCTGACAAATCTCACCCCTGATTATAATCACTTCCGATGTTCTAATTTATCATTCGATACAGAACAGATTTCACAAATTTACTTGTAACTTTCTTTCATTTTGGATAATTGTGTTTGAAGAATATGGCCAAAACACCAAAAATAAAAGGACACGTGTGTAGAACAAACGAGTTGGCAGGTACTTGAACCCATCAAGTTGTCAATTATCAATTAGTTATCAAAACTAATCAACAGGTGGGCTATTAAAATGTCACAAGAGGCTTTGCATATTGGAGCTTCCAACTTTGGACAAGTTTGTGAATGATGACTTCGAGAGAAGTTAAAGGTTGCAGACCAGTAAATAAACTTCCACAGACCCCAATGGTAAATGCTCGCATTTCAGAAATTCGGGAAAAATACTCAAAACTCTCCAAGGTGTTCGAGACACACATCAAATTAAAGCTTATTTCATCATCTTTCATTTTCTTTTTAAATTTTGGGGGGTTAACTGATGACTTTTAGGAGAAATTTCCATCCGAAGATGATCACCCCTGAAAATAGTCCTGAAGCCCATCGCCATGTTGAAAAACGATGCCTACACTCCATTGCAAAATAGAGCGCTTTAAGGGCCCCAATTTCATCCGAATTGAACGGAACTACAAGCTCACAGTCCTGTGCACGGCTTCCACCCATATTTTTTTACAAACCCTCAAGTTCATGGCCCACAGCATGCTCAAATACTGAAGATTTTGAGGGCATTCAAATCGTGATTTGGCCGGCGCAGGCAATTTCGGACCGATTTACTGGTCTGCAACCATAAGAAACAGAGGTATGGTGCCCTGATCGCCGGTATGCTCCAAAACGTAAGAGTCAACGATGTTTTTTTTAATAGAACCACAAGGCCGAGTTTGTGTGTCCGGAAAATCCTCTGAAGACCGCAATTCTAGCTGGGTAGGCCTGGGTAAACCTTTTTGTGCATTGAAAAAACTATACCATATGAGAAATCCGAAAACGCCTAAGATCTAATGGACTGAACTTAGTAGACATGAATCATTTTCACTGATAGGCCTTCAATTTCTTGCAAGAAACATAAGAAGTGATGAGAGGCACGTTTCCGATGGAGATGTCTCACTACGACCTTCAGTAGTCTTCTCTAAATCAATGGCACATTCCCAGCAAAAATACTCTCCGTGACGTCACAGGCCATGACGTTATTTGTTCAGGGGACGACATGATGGATTTCGGACCTAATTTTTTTGATGGCAAGACGTCCCTCCCCTCTTGTTCTCAGATTTCGTCTGGGCCGGACTCCGTCTGTCTTTTTGTAGCAGCGGGGCACAGGTCCTTCTTCCAAGGGCAAAACAAGCGGGAGACCCCGGCAGGGGCAAAGGAGGAGAGGACGGTGTGACGAAAAGTCATGAAGGAGAACGGGAGGGGTATTTTGAGTTAAGACAAGGGGTGTTTATAAGGAACCTACAGTATGAGAGAAGATACAGCGAATAGGTATATACTTTATATTAAGGTCAAGGCTCTTGAAATTATTCCTCATGCTCACCGGGCAAATAAAACATCCTTATTCCATCTCAGCTCCTGCAGCAGATTTCTCGTTTTAATCGCAGAGCATAGAAGCAAGCAACAAAGTGTCTTGACCAATAATACATGCACCAAAACCCACAGAAAAACAAGGAAAGAATACAGTCGCCAGATAAGGTCTATGGAGAGTTGAGTGCAATTATTAAAGTATTTTCGAACAAAATTGGAACTAAATCAAATTGGGTTTTGCCCTTCACCGACGTATAAAACCTGTATACTCAGTGTGTTACCTAATTTGATTTACATCACCCCGACGCAAAAAAAAAATCCATCTTGTGAAAATTTGAACTGTCTCTCAGTCCCAGGTTCATGTTTTTTTTCGACATTTTTGGCAATGACTGACCTTCATTTAGATAATACGATGACAACAAAGTGGCGTCATGATGCAACTTTCTGCCCGAAAGAAATAAGAGTAACATGCTTCTCGATCATTTGCAACGAATTGAACTTGGGACCAGACGATTTGGGAGACAATAACTAACATTTTAGCTCGAGATACTTTGAAATAAAAAAAAAATCACTCAGGTGAAATTTCGAATGAAAACTCGATTTACTCGATTGAATGAATGTCACTCTAAATCACAATGTCCTAGTTTTAGTCCAATGAAGTGGAATTTTCACTCCAATTGAGTGAATTCCACTCTTAGAAAACACCAGAGGAATTATCCTATTGCTGCATTTTCACCACAGGTCACGGGCACATGGCTACATTATGTAAAGAACCAACACAATCCATTCAAGAAACGCACACAAACACAGCGAATGTCCTCATAAATTAACGTTTATATTTTATTTTAAAACAAAGCTTTGACATATTACCCAAAAAACCACACGTGTCATGAACAAAGGTCGGTTTGTTAAAATAATGTCTTAAATAGTGCATGGCATCTATTCTCTATTCTAAGAAAAAGGTTGATGACAAGAAAAAGTAATTATTTTGCAATCACATGCAACACGCACTCAAAAACATGAGCGAAATTCCAACTGGAACGGCATTGTATCTGAACATGCAATAATATAATTTGGTCTGATACATTTTGATACGGCGCGAGGAGAATACAACATTAACCTCTGGTCACGCACGATCCTACCGTCTTGATGAAAAGAGGGAATTTACATGAATAGGGTGAATGCAATGCACGGCACATCAAGAAATGTGACACATTGATTACAACTCCCCTTTCCCATCTGCTGCTTAATTTCATTTGGGGACAGGTCTCAGGGGAAAAATATAAAAGATTGGATAATTCTGAAAGAGAAAAAATGATCCCCTAATTGACAGTGAGAAGCTAAACCAAGTGCCATGTAGAATGTTCTGCTCGAACAAATACAAGGCTTGAATTGCGATGCATCTTTATTTCTGGTTTTGAAGCCTTCGAACCAAAGAGCACATTGGTTTAATAGTACATTACAATGATACTGGGCGAATGGTTTCTGATCTGTTGTTAGTTTCCAACAAAATAGATAATTCCCGCGATTCATCATACGCTGTTATCCTTCTACTTACGAGGACCTCCTGTATGCTCCCTTCTTTTGTTCCTATTGTTTGAACTCTTTTCCTCAACATCTCCCCTAAGGTTTGTACACGAAAACCTCCACAGGACTTGGCTCAGGTCCTCTGGCTTATTGGTATCGCAAATCCTCCATTGTCCCACGCAACCTCACACAAGGGGTTTATGTGATACTTGCATTGTTGTCCCTTTATCCTTCTTCTTTAGAATTTCTATTCTGGGGTACCGCTTTATTACAAAGGTCGACTTGCTGGTACTATCATTCCCTTTGTGCTAGTACCCCATAAGTTGTGAGAGCAAGTGCTCAGTCCTTAAGGATAACAAGATCACACGGACTGTCAAATTGAATTCATCGGGCACTAGGCTATTACCAAAAGGTTCTACTGCATGGGTACCGATTTGATGCTATATGCCAGCTGGCTGGATCAAGTACTAGGGTTGATACCTTAGGCACCTTCCAAGTGATTAGTATTTGATGGGGTGCCATGTACCAAAGCTAGATAATAATGTGGGCATTTGTTCTTGGTACTAAAGACTGGGTGCTAATGTTTCACTGGGTTTCGATGAGGTGCTTGCTTTAATACCCTATGTACATATTAACAAAAGCTAGAGAAGGCAGGGATCTACCTAAAGGTACCAGAGACTGGGTGCTAATTGGATTTATAAAAAAGACCATGTTACTGGCGAGTACTACTGGGTGCTATGTACCAGTTGGCTGGATCAAATACTGGGTACTACTGGGTGCTATGTACCAGTTGGCTGGATCAAATACTGGGTACTACTGGGTGCTATGTACCAGTTGGCTGGATCAAATACTGGGTACTACTGGGTGCTATGTACCAGTTGGCTGGATCAAATACTGGGTACTACTGGGTGCTATGTACCAGTTGGCTGGATCAAATACTGGGTACTACGTACTGGGTGCTATGTACCAGCTGGCTGGATCAGATACCGGGTACTACTGGGTGCTATGTACCAGCTGGCTGAATCAGATACTGGGGTTGTACCCTGGCTACCTTGCGAAACTCTTTGCTGTGGGTCTTAGGACACACCATCTCACACCAACTGATTGGGACCATGTTGACACCTGCACAATAAAAAAATACCACAGCAGGTAAACAAAACTGATTATGAGTGTAATAATTCCAGTGTTTCCGGTTACATTTCCCACTGTTATCTTGGATAAAAGATTTCAAAGAAACCACAAAGGGAAACTGACTAGGTGCATTATTGTAATTCCTACAAAGAGTGACTGGAGCGGGGTTTGAACCTGCCACCTCCGTATTGCCATTCCAGTGTCTACCAACTGAGCTATCCAGCCCCATGTTTTTCAATTTTATCCTCCCTTGAGACTAATACAGCCCCAAACATCCGCCCACCAAGCACTTTCCAAGAGGAGTGACTGCAGAACTGAATCAGTCATCGTTAAAGTCTAACTTGTCCAACTGGCCCTGCACCTGCCCGTCACGGCAGCTGTTCATATACACGTCCCGAAGATCCAACGCACGCATCGGGCTTTGAGACCCAGTAACTGAATTACCTTGGGCTGTTACTCAGCTTGTTAACGTTTAACAGCGTGGAGTTACAGTCGCCTGGTTTACGGTTGACCACCTTGGACAAGTACGAGAATCCATTTATCTTAGGTTGGTCCTGTGCCACATGGCACTCAGAATGTAATTTATAACATTTCCAGGGGTCGGAAATTCTTCGAAAACACTTTTATTACTGGCAAAAGGGCAATTAAGACCCGCTAACATTAAGTATCTGGTTCCCCATCCATGATACTCATGTTGTATAAAAACAACTTTTTTTTGCGAAAAGATTGCAGTTAGTCCACTTTTATTGCCAGATAAAATATATTTGGCAATTATTTACATCAATGTTTTTAAAGAGATGAACTTAAGGAGATGCTACGAGCGTAAGAACTTGTGCTGTTGTCTTAAGTACAAATTGAAAAATGTATTTAATGGTGCCTTCTTTTTTCAATCAAATGTCCAGTCAAACAACAAATATAAAGATGAAATTTTTTTAAATACATGAATCCTTGGAATACCATAATTATTTGCCTCTTGAAACTTTGCACATGGAATTCACTTTTTTGTTGCTGACAATAAACAAACTGTTGGTGGTATATTTTTCATCTGAAACATAAAGCTAGACCCCCCCCCAAAAAAAAACCACCCACGTAAGTTACCTGCTTCGCTCTGTGCGAGCACCACCCCTAACTCGTTCTCTGCGGTTGACAAGAGATACCACTGGGCGTCTCCTAGTGACAGCTTCATCAAGTGCGTTAAGGATTTATCATCAACAAACGAGGCTCAGGTCAGGTGAGTTTGTCAAGTTGTCATGGAAACCATTTCTCTGTCTAAGCACTTGATACAATTAATATTTCTGTTCAACAATTTGGGACTTTGAGATCAATATAGGCAAAGAAACAGAATACAATGTATAGAACTCTGAATATCCTCCACTATTATTTAAACATTTTCAAAGTTTTTATACAGTACCAGGGGCGGATCTAGCTTTCAGGAAAGGGGAGGGAGATTGATATTTGAGTGAGGGCATGCCAAAGGCAAACCCCCTGGACAATATTGAAATCTACGATACTTTCTCCTGCATTCTAAGGCAATTTCAGAATAGATTTTGCAACTTTCAACATACCATTTATTATTCTTGGTCCCATTTGACTAGTATGATAACATTAGTCAGCAGCTGAACAGGGGATTGCCAACCCCCCCCCCCACCCCAAATCGGTCACTGACTACATATAATTTGAAAACAGCAAGTGACAAAAAAGATCATATTAAATCTGTAATCCCTCATATGAAAACTGTGCTTTAACGAGAAACTACTTTGTACTGGTGCTATTCAACTGAACAAGTAACTTTGACAAGGACTAGAGACTCGTATCTGGAATTGTAGTTGCATCATCACACGTCGATCACAAGTCAACCAGTCTCAAGTTACCAGCTAGTCAAAATAAACTGTGACAGAGGTATTCCTGATTGTTGTTCATTCCCTCTTACTGCGTCCTCATTTGTAATTTGTTGTGTGATTGACTTGTGATTGACTTGAATAAAAGTTTGGCAATTTCAGGGAGCTAGCAGATCAGCTCAGCCGAAAAGTTAACAGCTCTAAAATCTGAATGCCTGCGATGTTTTTCCTTCGTAAACTCATGAATTTAGGGCCCAGTATTTATTCACAGTCATATCAAGCACTCCGAAAGGGGTAGTGAGGAAGACGTTCTAGAGCAAGGCTTGTAGAAATTTGGTTAACTGGCAAAACAGAAAAGGATACAATTCTAGCGAGCACCACGTCGCCAGGCCGGTAGGATTTGTAGACCTCCACCTTATCTTTCTCTGTGGCTCGGATGTCTTCCCTTCTGATCATTCCGCGGAAACTCTGGGTCAGTGGCGTGCCTTCAACGCTCAGGATGGCACAACGGCAAAATCGTGGATTGACACTGGTCATCTGAAACAAGGGATAGCGTTTCAGATCCTTGATAACCCTTCTGTCGGTATTTATAGGGGCATTGCTGGGGGGGGGGCACCGCCCACTATTATTTTTGTTAGCAAAACTACTGACATGCAAGCAAAATCTTTTGGCAATTTCTTTTTTAAAATACCGCAACAAACAGCAGCATCCATTGTCAGTGTCAAATGTCACCGACTTTAAACGGTGGCTCCCATTAGTCAGATAGTGTCCAACTCGCCACCCCCCCCCCCCCCCCCCCCCCCCCTATTGAAATTGGTCTGTCAATGCCTGTGGGCATTAAGCCAAAATGTTTGCCAGCTTGGATGCTGCCCTTCACTTTCATCATTTTCCCCAAGCATTTTATGTTCATTGCTGACAGAAACCTTGGCGAGAATAATTCATAATCTTGCCTGGATGGTCTCGACCTCTGCCTTACAAGCGCAGACGTTTCATCCATTCAACCATTCAGCTTGCAGTTGAAATATGACAAAGCAGGTACTGCAATCATTCAATTATTCATTTTAACTTTTAGATTACATATTTTCCAGGGGCACTCAGAGAGCACTGACGAAATTAGGTCGGTGAAGTCCAAACCTAATTTACTGGCATCTTCCCGACACATAATTCCTTCCGACTCAAAAGCCACTATTGTCCAGATTTTTGAAAGGACCATGTGTGGCACAATAATACGGTTAACATTTTTGGAACAAAGGGCAGCATTCATTAAGCTACTGTGATGGCTCGCACCCATCACTCTTAAACAGGGCTGTGGGTATGAGCAAAGCTACTATGATGAGCCCAAAAGGACAAAAAAAAGCAATTGTCATCAGTAGAGGGCAGCATTCATGAACTGTGGTTCAAACAGAAGATTTCCAAGTGAATGAAACTTTCAACAGAGGGCGCTTTCTTTTCTACACGATAGACTGAAGGGTGCAGACCAGTAAATAGACCTCAGTGCTAATTACGCGCACGTCCAAAAATTATTTTAAAATACTCACAACTCTCCAAGGTATTTAAAAATACTCACAACTCTCCAAGGTATTTGAGACACACATAAAATTAAAGCTTATTTTATCATCTTTCATTTTCTGTTCAATGTTTTGGGTGTTAAAGGGAATGTACATCATTGGCTTTTGCTGTAATTTTCAGAAATGAACTATTTGTGGGGTTAGTATAATAGATCAAATATGTTTGAAGTTTTGTGTTCGAAAATGCTGGAAAAACCAAGAAAAACAAAAATGTTCAAGAAGTCTGGTTCCTTGACTCCACTAAAGATAAAATGGATCAATTTATAGATGCCGGAAAATTGTAAGGTAAGGGAACCAGTCTAGCTGGCCTGCACCCGTTCATGAACATGTAACCAATAGCAAACAAAATTTGGACTGAAAAAAGTGTAAAGTTGGAGCAGTAGTTGAAAAATAATTAGGTTTTTCCAACGGTGGTAGGCCAACCACCGTTGGAAATGTATACAAAAATACCATTTTCTTGAAAATGACTTCACACCAGGTGCCATAATTTTACAGGATGCTTTAGACTGTCATTTACCAACATTCTAGTAAGGTATTTCGTAAAAACTTGGTAGTTTTATTTTTTGATGTTTGCAAATGTTGTATATTCCCTTTAACCAATGACTTTTGGGAGAAAATTCCATCTAAATATGATCAGCCCTAAAAGTAGTCCTAAAAGCACCATTTTGAAAAGAATGCCTACTCTCCACTGCAAAATACATGTAGAGCCACTTTAGGGCATAATTTCATCTGAATTTCACAGAAAAATGAGCTCGCAGTCCTCTGCACGGCTTCCACCCTTCTTTTTTTTTTTTTTTACAAATCCTCAAGTTCATGGCCCTCAAAATGCTCTAATACCGAAGAATTATGGGCATGCAAATCGTGATTTGGCCAACGTAGGCAACTTTGGGCCTATTTACTGGCCTGCACCCTGAAGCTAACAGAGCCTATCCACAGGATATAAAGACTGTCCCTATTTCATAGACAAATCTCTTTACATTCTTTTAATGTTGATGGAATGTATTTGATAAATTAATCCTCACATCATTCAATCCACCAGGAGATCGAGAAGAATTTGCCTTTCTTTACAGTACTTTTGATGCTCCCTTCTAATTTCTTAGACTGAGACATTGGGTTCCTGCACAAAAAAAGGGTTTTTGTTCAGAGTCCAAACAGGAAGATCCCAAACAAATGCCCAGGGCAGGAGTGAGATTGGGCGAAAATGAAAAATCCATAAACCAATCAACAGAGAGTTTTGGGGATGCCTGGAACACGGAGCAACATAGGTGATACGTTTTTGAATTTCCCTAAAGGCACCCTCTTAAACACCCCTGTCTTTTGTTCTAGATAAACTTTTACAGGTAAAAAATGTCTTAGTGGTAAAGCGTCTCAAGTTATTTTTTTAATAAATCCTGAAATCTCACCCCTGCCAGGGAAGATTTATATTACCTTTACTGTGACGACCGAGCCGACCTCTGGTACGACAGTCTGCTGATCTTCAAGTAAAACTTGCAATTCAGGTAACTAATAAAAAAGGAGAAAACAGCAAAGCACATGCTAAAAAAAACCAAAGGGACATTCCAGAGACAGAGTAAAATGTCTTTTATTTTTGCTGTCAGATGTTCAAACTTTGTGTCTCTACTTATCACTTCTTTTTTTTTTTGGGGGGGGGGGAAGCAGGAATCACAAGTTGTGTGTCAGAATGTTGAATTAAATCGTGCATCCTGACAGGAATTAGAATCGATAAAGTCAGGAGTCGCCCAAGCCTAAAGACAAACACAGCAACAACAGTGATAGAAATATTCAATGATACCAGTGGGAAAGATAATACTACTATTCACAACTATTGCAGATAAAGACCTAACAGATGAAAGAACAAATTCTGTGGACTCACATCTTCCCCCTGTTTGGACTCATGTCGGAAGCCAGCCAGACTGGAGTAGACATACCCTTGCCTCGTGTAAGTACCTTTTCCTGCCTGGAACTCTTCTGTACTGCCAAGGCGTTGACCTACAATCAGATATTGAAGCATTTGTACCTCATTATTACCGTAAAATGACTTAATGAAATTATAGCAGAACATACTACTTGTTTGTTATTCCGATTTACTCAGACTTCAGCTCAACAAACTTGTAATCATGTTAATGAGAACTCATTTGCTATTGTTACGGTAGTCGACTGTCTGGTTCCCCGACCTGATAATATTCAATGTCAGGAGAATTGCCTCTTGGTACAGACTATTAATTATATTAACAGCATGGTTAATAAAAGCATGGTTCAATGAAATCTACTTCAATAAAGAGTAGGATATTTATTGCACAACCTGAATTAAATTCCGTGACTTTCGGCATGGTAGTCGAACGTTTAACCGATCGAGCTACAAAAGTGTTCTGGTTGGAGGGGCAGCTATTATTGATGTGATATGGATTCGCAATGGTGTTTTTGCAATGCCATACATGCCATAGTGATGATACTAGAAGTTGAAAATCGCATTACGGCTGCCGTAACGATAGCCACTACGAAATGTCATGATTGAGAAGCAGTCCAACTCCAAAGGCAAAAAGGCAAAGGTAGTACTTAGCCTCAACACAACAGATACACTGGTAAGCAGTTATAAAATTCAAACACTTGTAAACATGGTTAAGAAAACCCGTCTGTGTTACTGTCGTGCGTATTTGTATTGGAAACAAGCAGGCTTCCAAATGTTCCATGAATCCATGATAATCAATTGCAAGTTTTGTCTTTATAAAAACGGCTTAATTTCCTTGAAAGCTCCAGCTAAAATTTGGGTATTCCTTGGAAACTGCTCATCAATATCATATAAAAAGAAAGACTCATTCCGTTCACAAAGTGACATGTGCCTGTTGCAGATAATTAACTACAGAACCATCACGTGCCTCACCTGGAATACAAATCGTGGAGGCCGCCATCTTGCTTGTGTTAATCGTACCGCCTCTTGGGGGCGCTCTTTCAATATCGCGGATACTTTTACCGGCTGGCTGTTTCTATCTGTAGGCCTGCTGTATCTGTATCTGTATCGTATAGTCGGGCAAAGCATCCCGGGGGCAGGGGCGTAAATCATGCGGGGTGGGGGTGGGGGTATATATTCCCCCCACTTTTTGACAAGGTGAGATGGGCCATTGAATCATCCCCCCACTTTTTCGTGATGAGAAAAAAAAATGCGGATTTCGAGGTATTTTTCGAACATCCCAACAAGAAGAATGTATTCAATAGCAAAAAGTGAAAAGGGGAGAAACAAAATACAAAAGCTTTTAAAATGCTCCGTTCTGATGTAAGCGCAAGTAGGATATCGATATATTTATATCCCCTTCGAACTTCCCTTTTAAACTTAAAAAGTTGTACCCTTTTTTGTGCCATCGGCCGCTTCTGGTGCCTATCTTTTTTTTTTATTTGACGCATGTATCGCCCTGAAAAGCACCATATATTGTCCGTTAGTGTGCATAATCGTCGGTTTTGAACAGCGCCCCCATCGACAGATGGTACCAGCTCCCCCCCCCCCTCCCCGTGTTCCCCGTGTTCACATTTCACCACAGATGTGCAAGTGCCCTTTTTAAGAAATGTTTACTCCCCAATAAAAATGACCGTGCTACGCCACTGGTAAGGAATGATTTTACATAATTAATTTTGATTAAGAGGTCCTTGCGGTCTATACTTGGGATATATTGTAAAACATTTTCTGGAGATCAAGCATTTGTGACTCGTGGCATCCAACTTGGAGGATTAAGTTCGCCGCAAGCCTCAGCTTGTGGGCCTATTTGGCATCGGAGGCGGTGACTACATTTACATCTGGGCCTAGATATTGGCAACCATAATGCATTTTAGGGGCAATTTGGGGAGGGGAATATAAAAACAAAATTGACGTGGCTACCTCTGGTAAAATTGAAAAGAAAAATGTCCTGGGGTCATAATCTTTAATTTCAAGCGAAAAAACCTCGCCGCCTTGCTCTTGAGCGTCACCAGGGGGCGCTTTCAGTTTCCTGTCCGATTTTGTGTTGTTGTATCCAGTTTTTGATTTTAGGAGGGGCAACCGCACAGTACATCTGCGCGTAATTGTAGACACTTTTTTTCCGGACACTTGGCTTCCGTAAAATAACAAATTGAGGGGGGGGGGGGGGGGGGGGGCTGGTACCCCTCTTGTAAAACTGACCATTATGCATAGTACGATATAGTGCATACTGAACATTTAAAGATATGCCGATATTCATGGCGCATTGTAATGGTTTTGGAGCTTGGTTTTCATTTGTTTTGGTTCATGTTTCCGTATCTGTTTGTCCACGCACACACACAATCTTCTGGTTGTCGCATACATTGGTCGGGTCGTGTGCAAGTCCCAAAGAATTCTCTAACCATTTATATCAGAACTCTCTAACCATTTTATGTAAATAGTGACTGAAAAAATAAAATAAAAAAAATCGTCCGGGGGTGCGGGGGGGGGGGGGGGGGAGGGGCACCCCTGCCCCCCCATACACCACTGTGAATTGACAGTAGTGGTACCTTATTCCAACAGCTATTTGCTCAAATTCAGACCAGAACTTCATTTGATACAGTTCAATTTGTTTAATCCAATTGACATAATTTTTGTCATCTGCTGAAGGAAAATACTGATAGGGCCTTCATGTTGGCTTTCACTTCGAATAACCGGTCCCTATAGCTGTCACTGACCTAAACTTGTTCCCGATCCCTCCATTGTCCTTCGGACATCAGTGATAATTACGCCCACTTCCAAAAATTATGAAAATACCCTCAACTTTCCAACGTGTTTGAGACACACATCAAATTAAAAATTATTTCATCATCTTTCATTTCTCGTTTAATTTTGGGGGGTTATCCAATGACCTTTGGGAGAAAATTCCATCCAAAGATGATCATCCCTAAAAGCAGTCCTGAAGGCCATCGCCATTATCGAAAACGGACGCCTACTACGCTCCATTGCAACTATAACGCCATTTAAGGGATTAATTTTATCCACATTTCACACCAATACGAGCTCGCATTTTTACAAATCCTCAAGTTCACGGCCCTCAAAATGCTTGAATACTGGAGAACTTGAGGCATGCAAATCGTGATTTGGCCGGCGTAGGCAATTTTGGGCCTAATTAATGGTTTGTATCCATACCCCTATAGTGCATCCGGGGACTGGTACCAGAAAGTCAGCTTCTCAAACGGCGCGCATAACAAGCCGTCAAGATCAAAGCTGTGATGGAAGGCAAAAACTGTGAGGTACGATTATGAAAACCGTCATTTTGATAAAAAGAGTCATTTTGATAAAGACTTCGCGGTTATTTGTACCATTATAAAAATTAATGTATCCTTGCCCCTAAGAGAAGGACGTCAAAATTGTGTCGCAACAACGTTATGCCAAAATGAATATTTTCATTCACTGCGAAAGGAAAGGTCATAATTTTACTCTCCCTTTCGTCTTGTGGCTCCCACTTTATTTAACAGACGCACCACCCACAAAGACCGAAAACTCTGCATCAAGTTGCTTCACATTAAGCTGAATCTCCAATGTGTAAAACGTTAATTAAACTGGCCTGTTTCTACTCGAATCCAAAAATATCATGACGCTTGAAACGTAAAATCCTAAATGAGCCGACATTCGATCATCCATTAATTTACTGTCAGGTTTCCTTATTTGCAATGTTCGTGATGTATGTGTAAAAGATACAATGGAGTATTTTATTAATTAAAATATTGCGCACTGCATCGTTGTGGTTTTTTTTTGGGGGGGGGGGGAATGACAAGAAGTGAAATTCTTGACTGCAACTAAGGCTACGATGTATACATTCAACCTAGGAACATGTATACCATTAGAAGAGCATAATCATTGTACCGGTATATACATTTTTAGCAATTTTGTGCTCGTTCTTTTTTGGAGTACACTCTCTTGTTAACTGTCTTTTGTAATTATCATATGCAATACACTTAGAGTCATGGGTCAGATTTGTCCCGGAATCCGGGCTATTAATTGACCTGATATGTTTTTTTTTCGGGTCAAAATGACACTTTTCCGAAATATAAATGACACTTTGGCCCAGCTGTCCGGGTGAAAATGACCCCGGAAAATGACCCATAGGAGTTTCATTTTGACCCGGACAAGTGTCATTTTGACCCGGACAAGTGTCATTTTGACCCGGACAAGTGTCATTTTGACCCTGAAATGCATCAGGTCAAGCATGAGTATGATTCCCGTCAAATCTGTCCCGGGAGTGTAGATCCTGCAAGATCAAGTAACCCTTCACTTTGGTTTTAAGCCCACGTTCCAATCAATCAACGTGAAATAGCTCAATGACTGACGACTTCTTACGTCTTTCACTCGGTACATCAAGTGCCACGCACTGAAAAAAACTAAAGCCACTCGAGTTCTCCCTTCGTGTTCCCGGTCACCGAGGGCCATAGGCGCCTCAGGCTCGGAGCAGATATGATAACCGTGTACGCTTACTCGCCTATATTTGACTTAAGAATCGATCAATACTAGCTTCGGAGGTTCAATTTTTCGACAGAACCTAATATATGCAGTCAAAAGGACAATATCAAATGCGTGTTTTTCCTCCAAAATTACAATATCGAGAGCGCTAAAAATCTATTATGGTATGCTGGAAATCTATACCAGTCGAAATGTTTAAGCTTTCTCCTCTCCCAGGTAAAAAAACAAATCAAATTTCATGCAAAAGTTTCTCTAAACAAAAAAAGTCACCATTATCTTTACTTGCGACATCAATACAGTTTATTCGCACGTGATAAAAGTGCCTTCAGAAACCCTTCATAACTCTCACGCCGACTGCAACCTTATGACGTTTTTGCCATTTCATGAACAAAAATACTATTTTACTCTGCAGTTAAGCGCAAATGTTGTTCACATCTGAAGTGTTTAATCACAATGACCTGCACTGGACATTCCAATTGGTAGGAAAATATCAAAGAAGCCTCCAATATTTGCCACGTAATTCGATGGAGCCTCTTTGTCGACGATGAGTACACTCCAACTGGAAAGATATTCACTTACAGACCCTTAACTCAATTCCACAATTTTGTTTCGCTTGATGATATTATAACAGATGTAATTCACGGTTTACCCACTCTCGCAAGGGGGCCGAATGGACATCAATACAAATCAAACACTCCAGAAATAATTTGGCGGTTACGGAGCGGGTTATTGCGCCGTCGATAAGGCCCTCTCGATAGTTGAAACGAAGGCTCAACGACAGCCGAAAAAAAATAAGGAGCGTGAGTTCGAGGAAACCTTGGTTTCACCGGTTGAAATGCGCTGTGTGATGAAGCCCTCACTCATCGCCAACCTATCAAGGTGATGGATCTGCTCCTTCTTTCCCCCCGGACTCAAACCAAGAGCATATAATGACAGGGAGAAGAGCAAAAAAACATGTGGCCGTGCTCGGTCTCAAGTGGTGCCTTTGACTCCTTCCGTTGGCGCACTTCCTGAGATGAGCACTAGCCTGGGAGACCCGGCAACCTAAACCGGTGTATATAACCAGGAGCTGGCGTGTGCGAACATCTTAGACAAGTAGGCCTTCTTGCCGTCGGCACCCCACCCTGGACTCCGACTTCATTATCAATCGCGCGCTGATCGTACAGGAGAGTTGGTATTGCTCTAAGGTATACCGCTGCTTTTTTTGCAGAGTATCTTTACTTTAAAAGTATTTCTACTAAGAAAAAATCTCAACGAGCCTTGGTTGCAACAGTGAGCCGATTACACAGTAGACTTTTAAGTTTGATAGTTCAGACGGTGTAGTCGTCATAACAGGAGGCTTCTGTCGACGATACACTTGCGTGTTTGAATTAGCGTTGAAGTAGATTCAACTGTTGCAGTTTATCGAGCGAGACCGAACTTTGACTGAGTTTATCGTTAAAGGTAAGATAATAAAGGTAAGATCATAATTATTGGTTTAGTCGTCGATAGTCCCACTTGGTATACTTCTTACATAGGGACTATTATCATCATCAAAACTGT